CCCCCCCCACCCAATAGATTGTTGGTGGTTGAATGTCCTTTCACCTTCACTTTCCCCCTGAAAGTGTGCAAGTGAGTGCTAAGTGCGCAAGTGAGGTAAAGTGCGCAAGTGAGGTTATTTGGGGGTGCGCAAGTGAGTGCTTGGCCGTCCCGGGCGAAAGGGCTCCGGTCGTTCCCGCTTTTTCGTTGGCCAGGTGAAGATCTGTGATCCTGGGCAGGCCAATGCCTCGGACGCGACCGATGGAAGACCAAACAGTTCCTGGGTTCGGCGGCCCCCCTGTGAGCATTTGCACTGATGAGTTGCGCGCTATTGTTGAGGTGGGGGGCGTGGTTGGATTTGGAAGCCCCCCTGCTGGTGCTGGTGGTCAAGGATGCTCCGAAGGTTTTCAAGCCCACCTCCTCTGGCTTCGATCCCCAACTCCTCGTGCCTCGATCCACTACCTCCGCTCAGGCGGTGCATTTCCAGGCAGACTCCAAGGGCTACGAGGTGCCAGTTGGATTTCACGGCCTGGTCGGCTTTGGCCTTAGTGAAGTTGGAGACCTTGCAAAGGGCGACAAGCGGAAGACAGGCCCCACGGCAAACCTTGAGGGGGTTGTATGGTGGAACGCACCTGTTTGGTTGGAAACGTTCGTAAAACAACAACAGCACAGTCTAATGGTCATTGACCCGGTTTCTGTTGGCTCATAGTCGCCCGAGACATCAGAAAGCTTGACCTGACTCCTGAAAGCTGAGTACCCTAGGTACCTAGTGTAGGTGGTGGGAAGATGCAAATCAGAACACTGAGTCGCACGACTCCACTCCTCCTCTGGAGCGTTGGAACCCGCACGCCGATGACACGGCGCCGGAACACCTGAGGCAAGTCCTTCCGACCTCCGGAGCTCCACGAGCACAAGCCGTACTTGGCCACAAAGGTGGACTCCTGGTGTTTAGGCATGCGGCGGTTTGGACACGGTGTTTCGGGTGCGTTGGAGGAGGGATTTGTGAGGAAATGGGTGGCATTCGGCCTTGGAGTATTGGAGTGCAAGAGTGGAAGGCTTTCGGATCAAAATATCCGACCAATCTTATGAGGAGCTTGGTTTGATTGACGGCCCTTCGATTCCCAATGTGTCTAAGTAATTAGTCATGAGTCATGTGGAGGTCCAAGAGTCAGTTCTGGCGACTTGGTTCATGCAGGTTGGAGTACCTTCTACTTGCTCACGGCACAGCCGCTCTTTATGAGTGCCGATCCGGTCCAGAAGGATGGTGCGGAAGTGTGGGGAGCTTGGGGAAGCGTGCATTTTCGAAAGACTTTTGATGGTGTTTGGGGAGGTCACAGGCACAGTGCAGATTCCATTGAACATTGGTTCCTAAGTCAGAGCAACAATATAACGCTGGCAGGGTCGTATTGTGAGACAACAGACGCCATTAACAGTTTAGTCAGCAGTTGGCATGTAGCTTCAAGGAAACCGTTGGAGCAGAAGTGTTGATGGACTCCAGCACGCCCGCTAATGCGCCAGGTTGCTACCAGAAAGCACATTTTTCTCTCCAATGCGCAGTTGTTGTAGATGTGTTGGGGTCCCTCCAGTTGTGGTGGCTTGGAGCTGCCTTTGTAGTTCAATTTAAAGGGTTTTGAGACGTTTTGAGATGTTTGGACCATTCCGGACCTATTGAACAACATTGAACAACCAATAGGACAGAGTCGACAGAGCTTTGGTATGTTTTGGTATGTTGAAGGCTTCTCAGCCAACAAGTGTCACAAAGAGCTTGCTTTCCCCTTGGTGTCCCTTAGCCCCCATGGCCCATGCAGGACAGCGATTGGCATCTCTTCCGGCTCGGGCCGTCAGATTTGCACGTGTTGGGTGCCATGTTGCACATCTATATATAAGCGTGCAGAGCAAGCACCTTGTTTGAGCCCCTACAGCAAAAATGGATCACAGGAAAACTGAAGGGACATGAAATGAAGAGTGCTACTCAGTACTCACCGGACCGATGAAGATGGATCAGATCTTATTTTGCCACCTGGGTCGTCAATACGGCACCACCGATGTGGCCAAAATCACAAGGGGAGTGTCCATGCCAAAGGTTTTGCATGCGAGGATCCGACCAAAGGACCCTTGGTTTTAGTAGAATCACGTGCCCCAGATACATGACTATAGTTCATTTCTTAGTGGGTCGGCAAACTCGAGGAATAACAAGTTTGACGAGCTCTTTAAGACGAAAGTGCCGAACTTTTCGCGCCTCGGCGTGAGACGCTGCCGGCTGATTGCTGCATGCTCGTGATCGTCACGGGAATGTTGGTTGCTGAGTGTTCCTGAACAGATTGCATTTGGGGCATGCAGCAGTGGTGGACATTGTGAGAGAAATGGGCTGATCAGGTTGGATTCAACCTCGAAACTGGTCAAAGACATGGACGTGGACCATCCTAAAACGATAGATTTATGATTTATGTGTTTTCTTTCAGATTCAGTACTTTACATTTGCTCGTGTCGATTCACTGTCGCGTACTTTTTGGGGCACATTAGGAACCCACACGAAATTCCAGGAGAACCCATCATCTCGCTCTACTGGCATTTGTGGGTTCCAGAAAAACGAAGGAAGAGAGAAACCAAGTGCGGATGGAACATGCTGGAATCTTTAGATGGTTTTGATCAGCTCAGGACATTAATTTACTTTCGAGTTTTGTTGTGGACTATTGATTATTGTTTTGGAAAGGACGTCAGCACCCGAAAATAACAATAAACTATTTTGAGGGGCAAGGGACAAGGGATATCTTATTTTTTGGGGGGGTGGTGTTCAAAAAATCAATATAAGCCCTATAATGAGCCGAGCTGTCATGTACGATTCAGACTTCGGGGAGGGACAACAGGATTCTAGATGGTTTTAGTATGCAATGGCAACACCCTTTGCTTCCACACTTTTGCACATGGAGGCATTGGAACAAGTTGGGCTTTCAGCCTCCCGTGGAGTACTCCACACATGCATGTTGATCCGGGCTAAACATGAAGTTGTGACGTGGCCCTTCTCGCAGCTGTAATTTTCCTGGTGTGTGTGTGGGCATGAAGGCCTACCAAACAAATTGCTCTGGCACACCGATGGTCCCCGACTCCAGTGCCTTCAACAATTACTATAGTGAGGTGCTTTGTTTGGACGGTTCTTACCATGCGCACACCACGAAAATTCTCCCCAAGTGAGGTGGATCAAGTCATCTACGTTTTTCAAAAACTGCATATACCATGTATGCATTTTGAACTTTATATTGAGAAACGCATGGAAATAACTTCACATAGGACTCTGCTTAGCACCGGGCCACTGAGCCACACCAAGGGCCACGGGCATCGATTTCATCTTCAAACTCATGCAGATGGAACCCTCCAAGCGGATGTCCATCGCTGATTGTTGCAACTTGGCTGAACACCAGAGGCATCATTATATAGTGTGGTCAGGAATGTGTGGCCTTGCCAGAAACCTGTTTGCATAGTGGCTGGCTCAACAGGATCCCAAAGATGCCATGGCACTGAGCAAAGGCGGTGCTTCAAAGCACAAACTTGGCAAGTACGAGGTCACACGCGGTGCTTCAAAGCACCAACTTGGCAAGTACGAGGAGGCCATTGCGGACTTCGACATGGCCATCAAGCTGGATCCCAAATTTGCCGTGGCACTGTACAAACGCGGGGCTTCAAAGCACATGCTTGGCAAGTACGAGGAGGCCATTGCGGACTTTGACATGGACATCAATCTGAATCCCAAATATGCTTTGGCACTGGACAAACGCGGTGCTTCAAAGCACATGCTTGGCAAGTACGAGGAGGCAATTGCGGACTTTGACATGGCCATCCAGCTGAACCAGACCGTCCAACTATTTCAATCTCATGGGAATATTGCCAAGTTGGCAGCTCAGGCATATTTCCACCTTGGGTATTCCAAGCAAATCCTTGGCAGGTATTGGCACGCGGAGGCAATGAAGGACTACGGCAGGGCCAGCGAGCTGGATCCCAAGCATGGCGAATACCGTGACCGGTTGGTGGGAGCCACGCAAGACTCTGCTTGTTTGGGTGATACTTGGAAGGCCGTGCTGGCACTGGGGCTAGTCGTGTTCATTTTCCTCCGCATTTTTTGCAGGTGGTGCATCCGTGGTTGCAGTGGGTTGTGCAAGTTTCATGCAGCACCTTTCAGTCGCACCATTTCCAACCAAATTGAGGCGGGGAAGGTGGATTCCAAAAGCATGCAGGCATCCAGCATTTATACCAGTTCGAGGTTTCCTGATAGCCATGAAGCTAGCAGCTCCTCCTCTGATTGCTCCTCAGACTCCTGGGTTCATGTGGCCTCAGAGTGCTTCTCTCCAGACACCTGCTTCACGGTTTTGCTTCCAGATGGGCCAGTTCTCGCACCTGCCAGCTCCTTGTATCAGGGTGCTCAGGTTGTCGCCGCCGAGGGCCGCATTACGGAGGTCGCTTATCCACCGGAGCAGCATCAAGTGCATGCCGTCATCGAACTCCAGGCAGGAGACACATCCTTGGTTGTCAGCCGCGATCACCGCATGTGCGTTCCAGTCAGGACGGTGGAGGCGCATGAGTTGCGAGTGGGCAGCGAAGTGACTGGCATTCATTCTCAAAGCTATATAGAGTTGGAGTTTGCATGTTTTTTTTATGTGAACATGGTGCTTGCAATTGTTTGGATTCAGAACTCTCCCTCCCCAATACTCGCTTTAGGCCCGCACAGGAAAGACTTTCCAACGTTCTCGTTTCGTCTCAATCGGGCAAACCCTCCGGAAGCCCCAGCAAAAAAGCGTTCCTAGCGACATTGGATATAATATGAAGATAACACACACAACAATGCAAAACAACATAAAATAACTCAAACACATCTGAGGTGATCTTGGATTGCTCACGAGCTACTGGCACCATCACATCCGTAAAGTGGAGGCACGAGCCGACCATCGTGTTGAAGATTGGCTTCAAACCCGACTTCCCGGTGCCGGCCTTCGCGCGCCCACCAGCCATGCTGAGCAAAGGCTTTCGCTCAAAGCCGCTACGCCGTGGTTTGAGGAAGGCTCCAGGGACATCTGAAGATGCCCCGTCCATTCCGGACACGGAGGGCCATTTGACTCCTTGAGCAATCCACACTCCCATAGATCAAGATCCCTCAGCTGAACCCCAAAGAATCCAATGCGCCGAACACAAATACACGTCTTTGCGTTTGGAATGCCTGTCATGATTTCCTCCCGAATCTACCAATTTGTTGGTTGTTTTTGATCGTGGTGTACATGGGGTGGGGTTGCTCAATCTGCACCTATTCTCAAGATGAGTAGCTTTGTATAGCTTGGAATTGAGATTGCTGGGTCTGTTTCCCCAAACTTGTGCAGATCTTTGGCTGCGTGACTTGTGGCCAAGCATTGCACGGTTTAGACGCAGCAACTTCGTGCACCTGCTTGTGAGCACACATCATTTGCTGTGTTGTGCCTATTGCAGATCTAATCCTTAGTGCAACTCGATTGTGTGCCACTGCCGGCCTGAAATTTATAAGTATGGCCTTGGCACAGGTTGCGCGTGCCTTGTGAGTTCTGTGAGCTCAGACGATGTACTGTATCATGATACAGTTTGCTTCAACTTGGAGACTATCCGTCCTTGTCCATGTTTTGTGGGAGTCGGCACTCCCTGTCCAAGAAGTCTCTACAGTCTCTACCAGGAACATGCTGCCAGACTGCGCCGATCTACCCCCGTCCCAGTGCCTGGGAAACACAGCAAGCTCCTTTGGTTAGCGGGTGCGAGTGAGCAAGTAAGCGAGTGAGAGCCCCCCCCGCCAACCTTGAGAAACTTGAACGTATCGTATCCATCTCTCAAATGGAGGAGAGGTGGAGTTCCAGTTGCTACACATTGTGCCATATCCCCAAATGTATGCCTGTGCTGAGCTTCTGTTGCCCCCACTGCCCAGGCAAGCATGCATCTCAGCAGCAATGGCTACGAACGACCTGTGGAGTGAGTTGCATCGGGTCGATGTAGAGGGGTCCTTGGGCAATACCAGCGCCAGGAAGACCAGGAGATAGGGAAGGATCGTTTGGGGAGGCATCGGCTTTTTAGAAAAGCTTGCCGGTATCAGAGCAGCACCCAGAGTTTTGTAGAGAGCTGGGGCACGTCGAGTGAATTTCTGAGACTCTTGCTTTGTTTGCCAAACCACGTTGTCCATCGAAAGATATCGAAATCTCCCGAGAATCCATCGAACAGAAGCGTATTGCATGCATTTACCGCCCATGGAGGGGAACCTCTTAGCCGCCATGATTTCCCGTGTAGAACCTGGTTGATCAACTCGGCGGTCCCCATGGTCCAGCCACCCCCCCGGTGGCAGCGGAGTTTCTCACCAAGGCCTGGCTCTCGGATGGCAACGTGCCACCCGTGATGGCGCCCAAGGTCGCACGAGTGGAACACACGAGTTGGGAGATGGCAGGGGGTCCGGACGGGGGGTGGGGCCGAGCCAACGGCCGAGGCAACGGTTTAGAGCTGGTTTTGGAGAGTCAGACGCCCAAAACAGATCCAACATGTCAAGGACAGATGAGCGGTACGATAGTCAAGTACTTTTCTGCAAAGCATATTCTGCCTTGCCAGGAGCATTTGTCCGAGGAGCTGAGGGCCAAGTTGGAGGACTGTGGCCCATTCGGCCGGCCTAGCGGCAATGCTTTACTTGGAGATCTCTGAAATCTTGTTTACCATGAATTGGGCATTGGCAGCATTCTTCAACTTCACTGCTATTAAATAAATTAGGATCTATATATATGTATATGGTTTGTATACCTCCCTTCTATTTTGCTACATACGATTTGGATCGATTTGGTGGATAGCCAGCCAGAGTCCGGAGTTGTGAGCTCGCCGCCTTGATAGTTCCCTTTATCAAGCTCAAGACAGTTGACACGATTAGGCCTACACTCTCACAAGACATTTGCACTTTACCACCCGTAATCCCTGTTGCGACCATCAGTGCTGTGGGGGTGACTGTTTTGGGCCTCAAACGTGACACAGCACGCGCGGTGTTCACCGCTTCCATGGCTCGATCTTGGACTCCCGTGTTGGTGGCCAGCGCCTCTGCCGGAGCAGTTGGCGCCTTCTTCTTTTGGCGCTACACACGGGCCGCGAAGGCTCATCTTCATGTCGAAGAAGAGCCACAAGAGCCCCAGCATGAAGATCCAGAGAAAGAAGAAGGGTATGTTGAGGAGCCTCAAATACTTGAGATCGACTTCTGCGTGGAAGGTGAGTTGCAGCAATGTGAGCATGCCTTGGGCGTAGTGCAATGCCTACGCGCGGAGAGAGGCTCCAAGCAGAATGTCGAGTTGGATGCTGCGATCAGCGCATTGGACGAGTTGCTTCCGCAGTATGCAGCCAAGCTGCAGGAGAAGCGTTGGCTCGCCTCAAAAGCATCGCTTCTGGACAGCACCTCAGAGGCTCTTCAGCTCCTCTTGCTGGCAGATGATGAGCAGAACCTGGAGGCAGCGGCAAAGAGTGGCCGAGACATCCCAGAACTCGTTTTTGCAGCACAATCTTTGAACAAGATTCTCACTTCCAGTGGATGCTGTGGAGGCGGAGGAGGCTGCAGCAGTGGAGGTGGCTGTGGTGGAGGTGGCTGCGGAAGCAAGAGTGGAGGGGGCTGTGGTGGAGGGGGCTGCGGCAGTAAGAGTGGAGGAGGTGGTTGCGGCAGCAAGAGCGGAGGCGTCTGTGGCGGAGGTGGCTGCGGCAGTAAGAGCGGGGGAGGTTGCGGTGGCAAGAAGAGTGAAGGAGGCGGCGGTTGCGATGAGAAGAAAGGCGACTGCGGTAGCTGCAGCAAGCAGGGTGGTTGCAACCAAAAAGCAGAGGCTCCCCAGACGAAGGTGAACGACGCTGGGGTGGTGCGTGTGTTTGCGTGAACTTGCACGAGCGAAGTGTTTAAGCCTTTCTCCTGCCATGAGCGTAGGAAGGATTTTGGCCTGCGAGACAGGCAGTGTTCCACCGTGAAGTTCCCCTGATGAAAAAAGGGTCAGAGCAAAGTCAGATCTGGAAAGCTGATCATCAAGGCCTCAAAGGACCAAACAAATAGCCGTAGCCAAGCAAATAGGTCATACATCACATGATTCATCGTTGCAGCTTCTCATGCTAGCTGTTCTTCCCACCTCAGTGCCACTTCAGTGTCATTCTCGACGCAGGAAGAGCGACGAGCCAAGACCATGCTGCCCGTGGGCGACCGCGAGTTCAAGGGAGGCCGTTCAAGCAGCGCTCAAGCGTGGCTGGTAGTTGTTGCCCAGACTCGCTTTTTGTGCATTTTGATGCATTTTGGACATCCTTTTTGTGGGAAAGAGGTGAAAGAGGGAGGGTTTGAATGATGAGCCGCCATGTCCATGTGACCTCCAACTACTCCAAGGAGGCCATGTGCAGTCTTCGTTTGCAGGGCACGTCATGGGTCAACTGGTGCACCCCATTTTGACAAATTTTGATTACTCAATTACTTTGAGACTCCCTTCATCACGCTGTGCAGGCTCCCTCTCGGCAAGCACTGGGCATGTGCCAACAGCAGTTCTGGCCACAGTATCGCCCATGAGGCGATTCTGGATGACGGAGGTTCTTCGAACGGGATGACCGACACGTTCCCCATCATGAGCCTCACAGGCACAATGTATTTTGCATGTTTCCATATTATTCCATATTCCCGATGTGAATTTTGGTGGAATACGTCCTTTCCAAGTCTGAAAGTGTCTAATTCATTGTTGCACACCAGGCAGACGCCACCCTTGTCTGCGGTGTTGGAATTCTTGAGCTCTGCGACGGAGGGGGTTGGGTTTCACCCTTCCAATCTCCTTGGGAAAAAGAGGGATGTCATACATTGATACATACTGCTAGGCAGTTGTGCAACTCAGAACGTGCTAATCATCACGTCGCCACAAAGGTCAACTGGCTCATTTGGAACAGGGCAGGTCCTGGTAGCAGGTCACCATGGGAGATGAGAGAGAATTTCCTAAGTGTTCTCTCGTGGACGATGCATTTGAGCACTGCAGGCCGATGGCCCATGCCTTGCCCACCTGGTCAACGGCTCCAATCCAGGGTGCGTGTTGAGAACTGCGGAAGGGGGTTGGTGGTGAGGTGAGGTGGTGGAGTCCTGGAGATTCTTGTCATTCATAAATCACACGCATCCGTTCATGATATGGGCTATCCAATGGAGGTTGGGGTCACTTGACGCAGTGAGCAACATTGTAACATCGTGCGCATTGGTGGGAGGTTTTGACCAATCAACAGGGAGAATCCTGTTTGCTTGGATGGGCAAAGTTTGACCAAGCAACATGTTCCTAATCATTGGTCACTTCTAACATCATCAAGCGGATTTTCCGCTCGAAGGCCTCACTGCAGATGGTGAGAGAGTGGGACCAATGCATGTTGAATCCTTTTGTTATCTAAAGCAGTTTCGCATCCCTGGGCGTCAGACTTCCGCTTGGTCAGGTATCATCACCAAGCAGATGGCTACGCCACACACACCTTTGATGAGACTTAGCTTGCAATGGAAACTGCTTTGACATTTTACTGTACATGTCTGACACAATATGTCACAGTGACTGGACAAGCAGCTAAAGTTTAAAGGACTCATTAGTACCGCTAGAGGGGTGTGCGCTAGGCGATGCAATAGTTTAGCCTTCGGGTGGATGCTGCAAGTGGTGGTATGAGTTGGCACTTTCTGAGACGCCGAGGAGAGTCCGAAGTCCTTCAGGACGATCACCACGAAGCTTGGCTGATCAGCAGCTAAACTGAGGGAGTGCCCCTACATTCGCTCCAAGAACAGTGACCGATCCGTGTTGTCGTTCGCGATCCGATTCATGCGTAGTCAGTCGAAGTTGGCATCATCGCCGTCACACATGTTTTCTTCCCCATCGACGTCCGCAGGGAACAACATGACACCCTGTTAGTACAGGAAGTCCCGCCCTAAATCGGAACATGCGTCATCCTTCGTGAGTCCTGTGCCAAGGTCAAAGCTTTGCCGACGTCTCGCAAGCGGGGTGCCCCATGGAGGCTAATCGTAGCGTCTACCAGATGGGCCCAACGAAGAAGTGAGGCCAAGGTCACCCTATGTCACCCTTGCCATCCCTTGCCTCCGAAGCTGCATTGATCGTCAACGAATGGAGGTGCAAGACCATCCCGGAGACCGGGTATGTGTGGTTCATCACCCCACCGAGGCCCGTCGCCGCCCTCCACCCCACCGAGGCGGACCGACGCAGCCGCGTCTTCCAGCCACACCGGAGCGCGCAGAGGACGGGAAAGTGGCAGAGAGGGAACTTCGGAAGGGGCGGTTCTTTCGGAGCGAGTGCTCAGTCCGGGTGGCTGTACAATGTATGTTCCATACTATTTCCATGAAGATCCAGGATGTGCTTATCAGATGTCATGAACAATGGGACATGTGACTTCATCATTCAGTTCGGGCAAGGCTGCATCCATCTTGGTGAACATATCTATATAACTCTATATATATATATATAAGTATAGATTGCTTTGGCTTTTCCATTGGTCCATTGAAATATGGGCTCAGCCACAGTCACCGATAGATCCTCATTCATGGGATCAGGAGCCATGTCCAGATCATCTGCTGCTGATGCCCCTGCCCCTCGTGCCGCTCCCGTTGTTTTCCCTGCCGCTGCCGCCCGCAGTCTCACACCAGATAGCGAAGAGGATGGGCTCACTGGCAGGTTCGGCGGGCGCAGTGCAATCAGATCAGCTGTCGCTGACCCCGACTGGCGCAAGAAGTTGGTTCCCACAGAGTATGAACGACGCTCCTGTGCTGGCATGGGCCCTCGCATTCGTGCCATGGAAATCGCCGAGGCACGCAGGGACCCCAAGGTCGTTCTGGGAGATGAACTCTCTGGCGCTGCGGGTGCCAATGATGCTGCGAGGGTCCGCTCCTTGCTGGAGCGAGGTGCTGACCCCAATCATGTTCACTTCACCGTGTGCTCGGACGTTCCGCTGTGCCGCACCAAGAGCCCTGAAGTTGCCAGACTGCTGGTGGAGCATCCGCAGATCGACGTGAATATCAAGGACATCAATGACTACAGCATTTTGTCCAACATGGTGCTTCACAACCGTGCGAATGTGGAGTTGGTGTCTGTGCTCCTTGCGCACAAAGATTTGGACGTTCATGCGGGTCGACCCATCAAAATTGCGGCTCGCTTTGGCACCTGCGACATGCTGAGGACTTTGTTGGAGCACCCCAAGTTGGATATCAATGACGCATGTGGATTGCTACACTATGCTGTGTGCCGCACAGATTCCGCCTCCGTAGAAACTGTCAAGTGGCTTCTGGACCATGGGGTGGACCCCAACCTGCGGCAAGACGACAACGGCTCGACAGCCTTGATGTGGGTCGGTGGGTGGGACTCCTTGACCATCGAGATCGGTGAGAAGGAAGCGGTGAAACGAAGGCAAATCGCTGCGAGACAGGTGGAGATCCTTTCCACGCTCCTGGCCCGGAGTGACCTGGACGTCAATGCCACCGACGCCCAGAAGCGAACAGCTTTGCATCGGATGAGTGTGGCTGGGCGAGTTGATTTGGTGGAAGTGTTGCTGCAGGATCCGAGGGTCCTTCCTAGCATTTGGCACCAAGACTCTGACGGAAAGACACCGTTGGATGCTGCCGTCGAGGCCTTTGAGAAGGAAAAGGAGAAAAAGAAATGGGAAGTACCTGCATACCTCAGCAAGTTTGAGGAGGTCATTGCACTTCTGAAGAGCTTTGCTGAGAAGAAACGGGCAGAGCTGGAAAAGCTTGTTCCTGGTGAACTCTCAAAGCATCCAGGGACATGGTCGATGGCCGTGCAGTCGCTTTGAGATCTTTGAGACTGGGGTTTTGAAATCCTTGTTGCTGCGCACAGCTTCAAGAACTTCAAGGGTCTTGAAGACTGCATCAATCTAATAGCAGCCTTAGCAACTAAGCACGATGCTGTACAGTCATGCAACTAGCTTATTTGCCACTTGATGATTTGAATCTTTGTGTCACTTGAAATGGAAGCCGGGAATTGCACATTCTTGGTGTTCGTTCGGTCATTGCAATCAGCTCTTTGACACAGTCTGAGACTGCGACCCACAATGATTTCTTTGTGATGGCATGTGGTGTTCTAATATATGTTCTAATTCTTGTTTCGACGGTGCCTTCAGTGATCTTTAGTCTTTAGTGTGTTATGCAAGTTCCTCCTTCCCAAACCTCACTTGCGTATAGGCTTCCATGCTCATCTCAAGATCCGTTTTGTACACTTTGCCTGCTCGAGGACAGCTTATGCCGGTGGATATGCCTTGACCCGAGACTATTCCATAGATTCCAGAAAGTATTTTTTGGATGGTGGCAGATGCTTGGCTTGGATGCCATGGATGCTGATTGCACGGCAGCGATTCAATTGCTGACTTCATTTGCTTGCATAACCTTCACCTGCCCAGTTCTTGGACTTTCCTCTCCCATTTGTCCCATTCTGGTGTGTTGATTTCTTTCCATTAAGTGTTCACCCGTTTTCACCATTTCGCTACCCCAGCCACCGGGTTACCGCCCTGACCGCGCTCCAGGTGGTGGCCACCGCCCACAGCCCGGCGCCCATGGCCCGAGGCTCCTCGGGCGCCATGTCGCCGCCGGCGCAGGAGAACCGGTTCCCGGCAGGTCGAAGGAGTAGAGCAGGGTCGGTGCATGAGGAGAGATGGGGAGAGGCATATTTTCGGGCACATATACTTGGCATTTTTGGTGCGCAATTCTTCACGAAACTGTGGACTTGGACTTGAACCCCTTACCGTAAGTTATATACACGTCCGGAAATAGTCATGGAAGTGGAAAATTGCCGGTTTCTAGGACAGGGAGCCATGCCATCCACTTCCACAATTAATTCCACAAAATGTGTTTTTTTTTAGGGTGTTGGGGTGGGGCGGTACGGCGTTACGCGTTGTGAGTGGTGATAGATGGTGATGGTGACCTTTTTTGTTTGACTAGTTGAGTAGTTGGCGGGCTTCGATGGAACGTGCAATGGTGCAGCATCTCAGCTGTGATGGCGCACTCGAAGGAGAAGCTGGGCATGACATCGACAAACTATTATAGCGGCGTGGTGAGAAACATCGGATGAGGGCATTTCTCACACAGGTGGAGCCTCCTTCGACTTGTGGATTGGTTTCTCACCCTGTTCAGGACTGAAGGTTCAAACTTTGAAGCAGGAAGGGATGTTGGTTGCAACGACTTGGAGACATGGATTCCACATGAATCATCAGGCTTTGCACAGAAGTCGGTTGAACTGCAGGTAGCCTGTGGCACGGTATGCATCACTATGCATCCAATCATTGCAGCGCAGTATTTCTTTCTTAAATGTGTTTACTAGGAGGAGCTGTTCATTTGCGCTTGCAGATTGCTGGATGCTTTCTGATTTATACCACGGGTTCGCCACAGTTTGGTTGGTCATGGTGCCTCCTGCAAAGGTCCAACCCAGAGCACTCGTTCAATCCTCCTTGCTTGGTCAGGTTTGCCGCTTCATTGTTGGGAGGCTGTCTTACCTTTGGCCATGTATATATTTTCCTGATGTTTCTCCTAGCTTGCAGACATGCAGATCCACATGCTTCATGGCAGAAATAAAGCATTCACAAGAAACATGTTTTCCAGATGAGGATGTCCCAGCTGAGGCCAAGAAAACCGGATCGGCTTTGTGTCCACACCACGGCGCGGAGAGATGATCTGAGATGGCAGTCAGGGAGGGACGACGGTTGTTTGGCCTTAGACACCCAGAGGTTGTGTGTTGGCGATTGTTGGCGGAGTGGACTACTCTTTGTAATTTCACGATTGTTTCGGAGAGGGTATTTTCGATTAATTCGTTTCTACTCCAGCATGTGAACTCAACTATGCTGGGCACGTCTTGCGCCATGTATCGCATGCTGGTCTCGCGATATGCAGGTGGACACGCTAAGCTGCTACTAGTATGTTTGTTGCCAAGGCTGTAGTTTCGTGAGGTATTTGGTGGGCGTATAAATGTCATATATTTAGAACAGCAGTGATTCAAGTGACAATCTGATGATCTACGAAGGAGCCGTGGACATGTTGTGAATCCGTTCCAGCTGCGGTTGTTGGTCGTTTGTGCAGGGCGAACAATCGTCGCACCTCTGCGGCACCGGCACCTTTGCCAATGGTCACTGGGTTGGCAGATGGATGCATGGCAGGGGCAAGGGCTGCTTTTGGCCTAGGGATAGGGTGTTTGAGAACCCTTTGTCAGGCACAGCATTCAAGAGTCTTTTGTGACTTTTGGTAGTGAAAATCGTTTGGGTTCTGTTCGGTCGACAGCAAACCCATTGTGGAGTTACTAGTTGCCATTTGGACAGTTCTTCTCTCAGTCAGAGCCTTTCTTATTGTGATTTCTGAGGATGTAAAATGATGTGCACATGGTACGGGAGTTTTTGCAGTTTACATTGTGTTGCCACTCACCCTGCAGCAGGTTGAAACAGAGGCACGTGGGAGGCCTTTGTGGGCCTTCGGTCAGAAGGCGCGGACACTGGCTGCGAGTTCCCACGGCCCGCTTTTAAGGGGGTCCTTGGAGTTGGTTGGATTCCAGAAGTGGTTCTGAAGCCATCCTGATGTTGAGAACTGGCTGCATGTCACTAGGAGATACTAAAGGATCCAGGCGGCGTGTTCCAACGAGTTGGAGTTTGGCGCGTTTTCGGAGCGGAGCCAACCGACTGATGTTTTTGTCGGAGGAATGACGTGTCGCCCCCAAAACGGAGGCGGAGGCCGCCTCGCCACGGCGTTGGGGATCCAATGGCTCGGACTACCAGGCAAGGTGAGGGGAAAGACTTGTGGCGGAGGTCCTGCATGGCCTGGGTCAATGACACATGCGATGATGGGGGGTTCTGAAGACTTTCAAGGGTTGCAAGGCAGGGAAGTGCCCAGAATTGGAGAGGTGTGCGATTTTTGTTTCAAGAGTTTTTAAGTTTATGGGAGCTGATATCCAAAAAAAAATAAGCAGATACAGCACGGAATTGAATGAATTGGATTGTTGCTTTACTTACTCTGGCTATCAGAGACACAGCCTTTTTTGCCAAAGACCCCGCCAGCAAGCATGGTGTTTCATGTGGACTGAGGCTCAAGATGGCTCAAGTGGGTCTTGATCCGATTGATTTACTGTATGTTATATATAGTATAACACCCTTGAAGCTGTGCCAGCCCGGATCTCAACTGTTCAACTTGATTGGACACTTCGTCAACCTGGCAATCCCCCAGCAACTTACTACATATACAGACTGGCTTCCACTGACATATCCCATCACTTTTCAATCCCTCCTCACTCTCTTTGTTTATACACCCTCCTCCTCGCGGGCGCCCGATTCGCATCCGCCATGAGATGCCCGGAGCCCCCGGCCGCACCGGCCCCCGCGGCCGGGACGGAGCCGACATGAGCCGGTGGCTCTTGCTGGGGAAGATCGTGTCCTGCGCGGGCGAGGCGACGCTCGAAGGGCGTCCAGCTCCGGCGCCGTTTTTGGACTATGAGTCTTGGAATGCGCCCCCTGGGGGGGGGAGGGAAAATGGGAGATGCGCCAATCTTTTTGGAAGGTTTGGGTTTGATACTCGTACCTTGGATTGCTTGCAAAGCAACTTCACGTATTTATTTTATCTTCATCAAAGTCGATTTAACAGCTAAAATATGCCAAAGACAGATGACAAAGTCATTAAGTGCTTGATTGCAGCTGTACATGGCATCAGCATAAATCATCGCGGTGCAACTCTTAGAGTTTTCTGCCCATTCAGATCACCTTTTTGAATGGATTTGTCGTCGGAAAGGGAAGCCGAGTTGAGTCGTGCAATTCCCATCGATGGCAAAAATCACACCATCATGGCCGACTCCGCCGAGTAGACCGGCGGAGGGTTATGACATAGACCGACTGTCATGGTGTGAATGGCCCTGGGCCCTGGAGTATTCAGGTGGGCACTTATACTCACATTACTCACACCATCTCACGCACCTCTCAGGGCCTTCTTGCCCTAAAATGGCTTGCGTCCGGTGTCGTGACTCAGTGACCCAAACAGAAGCTTGTCCTGTGACATTCTTTCACATGTTTTGTAGGATGTTCTACTGGTGTTTTTGGGTGCCATCAGGCTTGCTGTAAGAGTTCCAAGCAGGTTCCTTCCAGCTTGGGGTCATCAGGCCATGCCCCGGCTCGCCACATCGGACGAATTGACCTGGCTCCGCCGTTTCAGGACTGCGATCTGGCCCACACCATTCCGGGTGCTGCGGCCGATTGGAATCAGGTTTATGCGAGCAGCGTCGCTGGTCGCATGAGACTTGGCGGTCATTTGCTCATGACATCTCATGACATGTTACGCCTTGGCAGGTATCCATCCAACTTTCCAGATACATGTACGTATATGGCCTGATATGATTGATGTCGTATCCACATGTATCCGCTGTCCAGCTGTAATTCCAGGGAGTATTGATCTACGATGACGCATACTGGCAAAGCCCAAAAGGCCCCCAAGGGCCCATTGCCAAGGCCCCCATGCAATAACCCTCGGCGTAGAGGGAAGAAACTGCAGGAGCTCGCACTTGATGGGCGCGGACTTTTCCTTCCCGAAAGGCTTGGAGCATTTGATCCATGAGAAGGAGCAGGATCGATCCAAGTCCCGCACCGACGCCTGGAGAAGTGATGTGGTAAACTGCACCGGATGTATAGCTATATAGCCCTCCCCCCCTCGGCAGCATGATCAGAATGGGCCAGAATGGGAGTGAGGGAAGCGGAGTGGGAAACAGAGATAGATGGGTCCAATGCTTGCTTTTGAAAGGTTCTACTTTAACAGCAGCAAAGCAGTCGTGTGTTTTCAAGCACTCCGAGGAACAAGCTGCGAAAGAATGTCCGCTGGGTGTTTTGTACTTGAAGATTGCATACTTTTATGGCCACTTAGCAGTTGACTGCAGTAAGGTTTTCTATGTTCTTGAGGCTCCACCTATGTACCCTGGACTCCTGGACCATGGTTTTTCGATGTTTTTCGACTCTTGGACGCCCGGACAATCCCGGACTGTGGTTGGTGGCCAAATCTTTGCAGCCACGTTTTTTCCCTCTGAAAAGGCGAAGACATACGCAGCCCAGGAAACATCGTGCATTTCTATTATATATATATATAGTTATAGTTGTATATATATATATATTGTTGTTTTGGTATGTGTTTGTTTTTCAGTGAGCTGGGACATGACACTGTTTGTTTTGTTGGTGGGCTCGACTATTTTTTGCCATCAAACTTTAAAGTTGGATGATGAGCGATCCCAATGACTCATATATTGCACGGGTGGGTTGCAAGCGAAGCCCACTTCATGAGTGGCCAATCAATTCATGGCAGTCAGGTCGGAACGGAGATGCATGTGAATTGGATGTCATTGATACCGATGCCGCAGAGGAGATTCAGAGACTCCTCAGTGGCTCAGCTCTGACAAAGGATTGTACATCATCATATTTGGGGTCGGGTATGTATATCCCATTACAGTATAGGCCATTGCCAGTAACAGTTGGTAAAAGACTATCACTCTTCTTAATTCTTGAGTGAAGACCTTCACTGACCTATATAACCACCTTCATCCACTTGGCCGTGGTCATGGGGTTCCGAGATAAACCCAAATCATCAGGCAAATCATCAGGCCGTGGTCAGAACCCAAATCATTCAGCAGTTTGATACGTTTTGCCTTTCAATGCTTCCGCCTTTGGACCGTCGGGGCTAGAGCAGTGCTTTAAGATTCTCCCAAAAAGTCCAATGCTTCACTCAATTGAGTTTGGCCCCCTCTTTGGCCCGGTCACTCACTTCTTTCCCTTGGATGATCCACCTGACCCCACTTCCAGACATGGTGTCACCATATAGTCCTTCATTTTCCTTCCGACCGTATCAACATTGTAGGCCTTTACCCCGCCTACGTGATGGCGCTCTCCCGGTGGCCCATCTTTCCAGTCTTGGCCTTCTACCGGCCTTTGCATCAGAGCTTGGAGAACTTCACAGGATCCATGGCCTGCGACAACGTCAAGGGAGTCATCGACTGGGACCATTGTCGAGCTCCTGGGCGAAGAGCAGAATTGGGTACTGAAGTGTCAGCATAGGCTGGTGCATGTGGGTAAGGCGGGGGTTTGAGCAGTGGAGGAGAGAACGGGAAGATTGAAAGTCGCTGGCAGGGTTGTTTGCATTCTTGGACAACTTGTGATTCATGGTTGCAGTATAAGTCTCCGCAAGTATCTACACACAAGTGATCTAATTAGGATTAATTAGGCATATTGGCAGAATTATGAAAGAATCCTACTGGACATGTTTGCTGAAGGGTTGCACTCCTTTGGAGGAACCTGGCACCTGTAAATGTGGGGTGGGAAGGAAATAGGAAACAAGCATCTTCACACACGTGCAGCGATACTGATTATATACATTTTTGAAGGATTGATATGCTCCTTTGGATTGCAATATACTTGTCCATTGAGACCAAGGCACTCACAATGATAGATATTTGATATTGTCCTGATCCTCAACACCTGGAAGCTTGTCCCTTTTTTTTGGGGGGGGGGGTGCGAACCGTAGAGAACACACATGGGGTCACAATGGGGTCAACATTACAACTCATGACCCAGGCTTAGACCTTGGAGGCCTGAAGTAAAGCCCGGGCGGCCTGAAGTAAACAGGAAGCCTCACGCAAGGCCTGTTCTATGAACACCTGTTATTGTGACTCCCGTGACCGTCCAATCCTCAGGTCCAGGCTGCCCGGTGGATTGAGCTGCAGTTTGGGGTGAACAAGACGGAGGAGGAAAAAGCAGAGTTCCTGGGTGCTGATGGATGATGTGGAGGTGAAGAATCCCACTATCTATATAGATGCGGCTAGCAAGCTTAGTTCACAAGGTGTGACGAGCCAAGTCGGTTACAATGGATGTTTTTGTATCAGTCGATCTTGTTGCTTAGCAGGCATGGGCTACCATAATGACCAAGTGGGAGAAAGCACAGCATTCCGAGAAGCCGGTCATGCTTGACTTGGGAACCTAAGGTGATTGACAACACATGACCGGCCAGAAAAGTAGGACCAGAGTTCGCTCTTGGATACTATTGGCTACCTTTGCTTCGTGCACAAGCGCAGCTATAGACAAGAAAACGGCCTCCAAGTTTCGGTCTCACATGCAGTCGCAAAGACTTCAGCATTAGTTTCAGCTTGTTTATTCATGCTTTCTGGCAGACATGCTTAGAAAATAATCGCAAGCAATCTCAAGTAAATTGGAGCTTTCTCACCATCTCAAACGACGCTTCTTTTGATCATATCCGAGTCCTTCCCAAGGCTCATTGAAGTCCAACAAGACATTGCAGATCAATTCTACGTCGTTCCGCGAAAGGCGGGTCGGTAGAACCACGCGGCCCTATGGCCGGATGGCGTTTTCAAACATTCATGGATTCGCATTCAAACAAGAAGCTACTAGGAGCAAAGGGCATCGCTACTAGTAACAAGTGCCTCACTAGTAGTAACAAGAAGCTACTAGGAGCAAAGGGCATGAGACGAAAGCAGCTGAGACGAGGAAAGCACATGATGAGTTTTGAGGAGCCAGTGAAGACCAGTGGATGGAGATGGTTTTTCATGCCGCTGTGGCTGTGCATAGATTGGATGGTTCAATATGGTTCAATTAATCATCCTACACATAATTATATATACATCTATTTACAGATACATCATTGCTCGAAAAGGCTCAGGATGGAGGTCATGTGCACTGAAACTCTTCTCGGTGCTGGCTTGGCTACTGCAGTTTTTGAAACAACTGACTATGCTTTGATGGTCAGAAGATGGCTGTGTAGAACGGCGGAGTGTGCAGGAAGCTTCAAATAACTTTGTGTGTGTGTGTTTCGCACCGTGCCAGGCGCATCGGCAACAGCAAGCCTACGAGGCGGGTGTCTTGTCGAAGCACTGTGCAGTGGTTTCGGAGTAGATGGCACAACGCCCAAGACTTTTGGATGATAAACAATCGTTTGTGGACGGTGCCATCTACTCTGAAACCACTGTAGGGCTGTCAACTTTGGTAATGTGAGGCTTTGGCGAATGCAGTGTGGACTCCTTGCGCCAGGAATGTCCGTTTGGCTTCTTCTACTTGGCCGCAACGCAACTGGTGGCGGCAGCTGGCAAGGGCACCAACCACATGCCTCCTTTCAGTCGTATCATCGATGAGGTCGTCTCCGATTTGCCTTTTATTCAGGCGTGGGTTCAGAAGTGTCTTAAGACTTTTCAACAAGACATCAGAGGACCTTGTCTCCCTGGGAAGCTTTGCCTCAATTGAAGGAAGTGTCGGGTCTAGCACTACCATCCAAAATGCTACAAGGACCTCTCAATATAATTAGCAGATCCTGTCGCAATTTTTTGATCACTCAGGAGGACGCACAAACAAGATCAAACAAGATCAAACAAATCTAAAGTTTAAGGGCCAAAAGTGTTGTTTAGTTTCGTGCGTGAGGGGGCGTCTTCTTGTAAAGACAGCAGAAGGTTTTCTGCTTGAGTCAGGCAGTCGTTTAGTCTTCCTGACTTGCTAGGTCAGCAGTTCTCCATGGCCCGTGTGGCACGTGCTGGCCATTTTTGCCGACATGAACAAAGGCCACATGAATGAACTAAGGACTATAGCCTAAGATTGTTTGTTGGTTTTCCTCAGTTGTTGGGCTTAGAACCTAAATCTTGAGCCATGTGATTGAATGTTTTTGTTTTTTTTGTTTGTGTTATTCTTGTTGATCAATGGATCTCCATGGTGTGTTGTGTACTTGAGTCCAAGGCACCTGGTTTTGGGGCGGTGATCGGAAATACTTCCGGGGCTATAGCGATTGGAACCTACGACGGGATGAGCTCCTTGGGCAAAGGACGTAGGGCTTTGCGGTGCTAAGCAGTTGGAGACCAGTGGGACGGAGGGGTGTGCTGGAATGATCATTCTCCTTTTGCAACGTGGGTTTGCTCCATTTCTAGGCAGATTTTGGGAGAGTACAACATTGTTGTTTTGGGTTTTTGCTTGCTCGGATGGACCATTGGCCAGGATTTTTGGATCCTTGGCCTGCCTGTTGCCTCTCTTTAGGGCCATAAGTTTAGATAGTTGTTAGATGTTATTAGAGAGCCACCAGCCGAGGTTGCATGTGCAATTGAAGCCTCCACCCTCCCACAACAACATGTCACAAGTAAGCCGTTCAAAACCCTACTCTGACCCTCAGTTGAAGAAACATGGAGGTTGGGAGACATTTGGGAGATGGATATTGTATGCTAGCTGCTAGAACGTTCCGATGCCAGGCACAAATGCGGATCATGTTGTGCCAAGTTGCCCAAGGCTTTACCAGAAAGGCCCATGAGACGTGAGGTGGTCCAATGAGTCGCTTTCCACCGAAGACGCTGAGGTTGAGCCCGTTGATCTCGCCGCGTTTGGAGTTCCTCAGCTACGACTGGCAGATCGAGGCCATGCTGAAGGTGGAAGCTCTCAAGGCGATGAGCCACAAGGACTACATGCAGGCGGGAGTTTTCGAGGGTTTGGGGATGTGTTTGGGTTTGTTCACCATCAAGGGGGATATATATATATATATACAATATATACAGTATGGTATATTTATATATACACACTATAGTGTGCTGGCCGACACCTCAAGCATGGAAATCACATATTTGGGGATGATAGTGACATCCGAAATCAGGCCTGTTCGAAGGTTCTTGGGCAGGTGATCTTATGTCCAACCCAACCTGGCAGGTGTGAGTGATATATTGAGTGATATAGCGTAGGTATTGTTCAGGTGTGGAATGTGATGGAACCAAAGATTTGTCAGCAAGATCTTGTAGCCACAAGGTTACTTCCACAAGAACAACACTGGTCATTAAGATAAACACACACACAAACATTAGTAATTAGTCTTTCAAGACCAGCTTCCTCATTCCAAAGATGTCAATCGAAACCATTCTTTCCCTGTGTTGCAATGTTTGCAGTGACACAGGACTTTTCAGGTCATGCCGCATGGCTGCGTGCCTTGTCCATCCACCGGTCGCCCCGGAGTCGTGTCTCGCGAGACGACCCGATGCCAGGCACTTCGGAGCTGGACCCGAAGCCGGGAAGATTCCTGGGGGCCGTTGAGGCGGAAGTGGAGAAGGACCATGTGGGAACCAGATCAACATCAGAACAGATATTGGAACCGAAAGTCTTTAGCATATACCTATATTTTTCCATTATAGTTATATATATATACTTACAGTATGTTTTTCCTTTTTTTGTTTTGTGTGTGTGTTTGCGTGTCCGTGATTAGGTTGCAAAAATGCGGATTACGGGCACACGCCCACCAAATTAGAGGACACAATTTTCCCTTTCCTCGTACAAGTAACGAAGTCATTTTCCATTGCCTCGGGGTTGTTGCCATGGTCACGTTAAAAAATTATTGAGCCATGCTGTTGCATTGCAGAAGGGCAGTAGATTAGGAGGGGCTTCACACATTTCTGGGAGCAAAGATGCATGCCTACCAAGCACCTGCACCGACTAGAACATTCATGGCAGCGCAAAACACTCAGCGGCAACTTGCAAGGGAAAATATTGGAAAATGACCCTAGCCCGAACACTTGAGGGCAATTAGGGCTCGGTCTTTGGAAGGGTTCACGCCTTTTGCGGAGGCCCATTGTGATGGGGATGATCGATGCCGCCTCCACCATCGCCGCGCGGGCTCAGCAACATCGGCTGGAGCGGCGCCTGGCTTACGTCGCCAGGGGGCCCAGAGTGTCCGCATGGACGTTGTTCAAGATCTATAAATACATTTTGATGATCTATCGCGTATTCTAAAAAATTGAGTCATGCTTAGCTTCAGCAAGTGCAGAACGGGTCCTACACCCAGGTTTGAGGCCAGACGGATCCCCAGGGTACTGCATGTAAGGCCTTTTTGGGGGAGTCATTATGGCCACCGGCCTTCACAGAGAGTCCTTGGGACATTTGGGGACCTTCCAACCTACTCTAGCGACGAGGTCAGCCAACCGCCCCAGCTGGTGCTGCCCAGGTTCTGCTCTACGGAGATAGCTGGGCTGATTTGCTGGGCCGTATGACCAAGCGGAGCCTTGGCAAAAGGATCCAAGGATAAATCAGTCAGACATACACCACGCACATGTGAGTTCGGTGAGCCTGCTAGCGAGCAGCACTTTGGCATGCATTCCCGACAGGCATGAATACAGTCATATTGTGTGCATATCATAGTTCTTTCTGCGCTTCATCCATCCACTCCTTGCATCCACGTACGTAGCATACTTGTCTCTGCACCCATGGATTCCCGTGTGACTGTTCAGGATGGCGCAGCTGAGTTTCCAAGATCCTTTGTTGGTGATTGCCATCGATGAAGCAGCGGAGGTTTGCCGAGCACTAGGCGGCCGAGAGAGAGGGATTGCAGCGTGATGTTGATTTCAAAAAATATTTCAGCATGATTTCAGCATGTTCCTTACTAGTAGTAACAAGAAGCTACTAGGAGCAAAGGGCATCGCTACTAGTAACAAGTGCCTTACTAGTAGGAACAAGAAGCTAATGTTGTCGGCATCGGGTCAGATCACCTAAGTGTTTGTCCCGCAGGGCGACAGAGCGAGGATGTGATTTGCTGGGTGCCAGTCGCCAAGCTCGCAAATACGAACGGTCCATGCTGTCAATATATACCAAACATATATATATATACTGTATACATTACATAAATTAGATATATCATTGTATGTCAATATACAACTCTTTGCCATCGCGATCACTTAGGACTTCCTGGTTCCTTTTAGTTCTGAAAGGCCATCAGTAGAACTAGCCTTTCTGCTTATCGAGTTTTTCCCCCGGCCCCGGCTGAGGAGACCGCCTCGCAAGTGCATCGTTTCACTGGCATTCAAGGCAGGAGAACAAAACAACCGTGGCATGCCTAAGAAAGCACAGCTGATTGTCTTGATTATTTGGAATCCCATTTGAACATGATAGTGTATAGTCAATTTGAGGCACACCCGTGCACACCACATCACCACACACCTTAAAACGTACCCAATCAAAGCGTGGAATCGCTTCATCCCAGTTCATTCCTGCAGGCTTGATTCATTTGGGATGCTTGGCTTGATTCATTCGGTGAGGGTCCCATGAACATCGAGTCGTATGCAAGCACACTGCATCAGACATTGCTCTATCTCTCTGACTTGTAGATACTTCTGGTCTTCACCGATTGTCACCCTTGTCATCCCTGGAGGGAGGAAGGGGTGGATGTTTGGGGTTGACATATTTTCATACGGCCCCGCATTTCAACACATTAACTTTACAAACTGAATCTGCACAACACTCATGGACACTGTCAGGCTGACGCGAAGACTTCAACCATGGGTCTTCGACCCGATTTCACTGCTGGCTTGCATGTCGGGCCACTCTGGGAGGTGAGGCCACACCCTCTCCCCACCTCTTAGGTATTGATGTGATCTACCTGGACATGGACACCTTCCTGCTGCGCGACCCCACGGCGCGCTTCCAGGCGGCTGCCGTTGGCTGGGATGCGCTCTTCGCACGCCACGGGGATGGTGACTGCGTCAACATCGGGGTCTTCTACCTGAAGGCCAGGGACCCACTACTCCTAGCTGAGCAGGTGTCAGTTTTGGGGAACCTCGATAGGTGAAGATGTGCGCGGTCGACGTGTTTTTGCAATCCAAGACTGGTGGTGAAGAGGTGTTCTTTTCATGGATGCTGATCTTGTTTTGGAAGAGATGAGCCGCCGGCTGACATGTTTCGATGTTTCTTCTGCATCCATCCAAGCCGGAGCTCAAGGCCAATGGCCGGACGGCTGTTTGGATGTCGCAATTTCTGGCCTGGTATCATGACCACCCCTTCGAGATCGATCAGCGTGGCCTGCACATCTTCTTGGGATTGCCCTCCATGCAGCTGGAGGTGGATGACTCGAACAAACATGGAAAAACATGGAGAAAACGCGTGCGACACCCGGTCCACACCGGTCCAAACTCTATAGATACATACTGATACTCCCCTTGAAGTTCCTGTGGCACCGCATGGCACCGCTTGGGGTCCATATAGAAGGTTCCTGTTTCAATCCAAATCACTCTCAGGCTCATCCGGAAGGAAGATCGAGAATCGCTCCGCCAGGTGGCGCACATTCCGAAGGACCTCGTGCGGATCCGCGGATCCGTCTTGGAGGACTGGAACGAGGTGGGGGAACACCCTTGAAAAAACCATCCAAACCCATCGAAGCCCCCGAAAAATGCACGGATTTTAATTGAGTATATCCAATTGGGTACACGTCAAACAACACTTGGTGGTGATGGGAGTTTGCCAGTATCCCCGTCTCAATGTAGATGTTACCGTCGGCTCAGGTGGTCATTGGCGACATAGGCTGGGTAGGAAGCTTCCCCATGATGCAGATCTTCCACTGGTGCCATCGGCCACTGGAGTTGCCTGGAGTTACACATGGTTGGGGAATAGTTAAAACCAAGCTGGATTCTTGCATGTACCATGTGCAAACATCTCCCAAGTCTTGGTGAGACGTTTGCCATGTGTTGCTTTGCTTAATTGTCAGTTTATTTTGACGTCTTCCCAACCAGTAGGCTTGCTTTGACTTTGAACATCCTAAGGTTAAAAGTCCATGAGATGAATTTGGCGTATGACGCTGCTGATGTTTTGGAAGACCATGAGCTCCCACTCTCCTTGGCACTCTCCGTTGGCTCGGGCGCGGTGCCGGACTCTCCATGGGCCAGGGTGGTGGCAGTGGCTCGTTGGCAGCTGTTGCAAGCAGCCTGTGAAACCTCAACACAACTAACACGAGCTCCCACCTAGCAAAAGCACATCAATCAACCAGTTGCCTTCTCAATTTGACCAGATTCTATCTATCTATCCATCTATCTAACATATTATGTAATTATTAGTGCTGCACGCGAACCTGGTTGGACTTCATGAAGCCAAGCTCAGAACAGGGTCAAGCGTCCGCCACGCTCTCAGCTCAAGGTGAAGTTTGTGTTCGAAAGTTACCAGCTGAAGGAAGCGCCTGGGCGTCGAGCTTGCTGGTAAAGCGGCCTTACTCCGGAACCACCCCTGCTACACCCGGGAATCGCGGCCTGGACGGGTCCCGGTCCAGAGGCCGGTGCTGACCACGCAGCGACGACGATCGACGTGCCCACCCAGAGCCGAAGTCACGAGGTGCGACCAGGGTGAGCTGAGATCAGAAGCGCCAAGCTGGAGACAGCAGGGCTCATTGGAGCGATGAAATGCTGTGTGCCAAAAAAGAGAGAGAAGATATTGGGATGAGCTGTGAGGGTGGCAGTGACGGCGGAGTGCTAGAGGTTATGGGCCAAGGTGTGGATCGTACTAAAAGGCTGGTGATCCTGGGAAGAGACACAGTATCGGCACAGGGCCTGGGGCCATGCGAATCTTGTCGCCAAGACATTGCAGGGGAGCGATGGGTTGAGTTCTCCACATGTTAGGCTCAAAGACCAAACCATCCGGGGCAGACGCTGCTTTTGCAGACTTTGCGCAACGTGACCCCACTTGTTCTGGTTTGTTTCGTGAATTTGATTGCATCATCACTCTTAAGTTCTTCCCCTGCGAGTATCAGTGCTTTAATCGTTTTCATTTTGTTCATGTTGGAGATCCCTGAGTTCACGAGGGATTTGCTAAGCAGAGCCAGCTAGATCCAAAACCTTAGGGCCTCCTCTTGGAACGGCAAGGTCCCTGCACCTCGTGCATCTTCACCAGTGCCGGTGACACTCGGGGCGGTGACCAGGGCTCCTCGGCTGTTTTGGATGAGATGAGACATTGTTGGATAATCGTCAGACAAGAACTTGCTGCTTCGTGGTGCAGGATTTCTTCACAGGAATTAGGGGCGGTGATTTGTTGGCTCGGTGTCACCTCTTTGGCACTAACCCCCCAGCACCCCAAATAGACCAAAACAACTCCCAAAACACAAATCAAATGTCTATGGATATGGATTGTTGGTCATCCCTGGGCCGCCGTCACCCAAGGTGCCATCTCCACCACCTGGCGGGCTCGCCTTCATCCCACCCATGCTGGGAAGCAGCCGTCGTGCACACAGTCCCAGGGCTTTGCACTACCAGGCTTGCCGGGGGGGGCCAAGGAGGAGAGACCTTGAGTATCCTTGAGTGTTTTTCGCCAATTTACATTCATATACTATATCTAAATAATATGTACATATATATGTGTTTGTGTTCCTTCGCTCTCTCTCTCTCTCACACACATATATATATACCTATATATATGTGTGTGTTATACTGATACTAATGTATAGGTTATTCTTTTGCAGATCGACTCGATACTATGAAGATGTTTGGGCTTGCAGGTTGTCGTGAAACATTCAGAGAACAAATTCGGCATCAGCCTGTGAGGTCTCGCGGTCGCCGTCACCAGCACCTCAGTCGCCAAAAGAGCACCTGCATAGTACGGGCGTGGGTGGGGAAAACATGATAACCGAGACCGTGTATTCTATATGCCTCGTGCCAACTGGCCGTTTGCACCCTTTTTGCGGGAGAGACGCTCGGTGCATCTTGGGGAGGCTGGCTCCCAGTCCCGAGTCCAAGCTCAGCTGTTTGAATCTGTGTGACTGACTGCCTCGTCATTGTTTAGTCCTATTGGTGCTTGAAACGAGCGCTTCAACACACCAAACATCTGGGGCTATGTGGTCCTCGGCAATGATGTGAGTACCCATGGACATGCACTAGAAGTGCAAAACGCTTTCGCAGTTTTCACTTCAAGAGAGGTCAAAGTGCTTCCATTTCCGGTACTCCTCGATGTCGCCGGCCGAAACTGCCCTGTCGTTGCCTGTTCTGTCGGCTTTGGTCGCTCAGGTACCCATCGACCCCGAGATTTTACGGAACCCCATGGGCTTCAGCTGGACGCCGGTTGCAATGTCACCACGTGCTGCCGCGTGGGCCCACGGATGCCTTCAGAGTGGGCCAGACATCTCATCTGAGTTCAGTTCTCCCATGGAAAAATTATCGTTCCAAACATCAATGTACAGTAGCAGAGGCTGAAGAACCCTATAGACTATCTCATAGGTACCCCACTATAAGGTCCTATAATTAACCTCTCTTGGTAGTTTCCGGCTCATTCCACCGACTCCCAAGGCCTCATGTCGCTCTCCTTCCCCGACGCGCGTGGTGCATCCCACCGGCTTCGCTGCTCGGCGAAGTCCTGGCTTTGGCTTCGCTCCGTTTGGGGGCGATGGTGGGGAGGCGTGCGGGAAGTGGGTAACAACACAAGATCAGAGACTGCACCAGGAGTCACGAGAAGGTGTGGCGTTTAGTCCCATCCAATGAGTGGATCATGGGCACCCGTATCCTCACTTTGCCCTTTAAATGCGGGTTGGGAACGCAGCTCTTAGGCAAGCAAGCTTAAGCAGTTTGTGGATTATCGAAGCTGAGTAAGGAGGTTGATAACTCTTTTCAAGGCCTCCAAACATATCAAAGGTCCTCCACCCGCGTTCCAGCAGGGTTGTTCAATTCAAGTTTGAAAACTCATGAACACTCAATGATCCCAACTATTAACAACATGTTCATACCAGCGCCAACCCTTCCCACAGCACATGTTCTTCTCCAGGATCAGGTTATGGAACCTGCTCCCTCCGTGCTCCGCTCGACCAAGGCTTGGCTCCCGGACCCGCCTCGGGCTGCGAGAGCATATTCGCCCTCGCCCATCAGCTTCGCGAGGGCGCCGAGCATGGCCACTCGGACAAGGGGCGCTCCGCCGAAGGTACCGTGTCGGAGGGTCCAGCAGTGGCCGGGTTCGGGGCGGGAGGATGGATGGGAGCACTCAATGGTGCGCTGTGCGTGTGTTGTGCCAGATGTGATTGCTGTTAGCAGTGTAGGGATTGTAGGGGAGGTAGGTGGCAGGATGGATCAGAGCTCGAGAGGTTCACAGCCTGAATGCTGAAGGGCACCAGAATCCGAAGTCAAGGCCACGAGCCTTTATATAATTGCCTTGATATATTAGGTTGTAATTCCAAGTTGGCCCCCAAGGCGCTCGGGGAGAAAGTTTCCGAACGGATCTATCAGCATTATCAGCTTCAGAATTTCCTGCAGGTTGTCAATGGTTGTCGATTAGTACCCATGATGGCACTATTGAGGCGAACCAATGTTGACCACCAGCATCACTTTAGCCAGAGTTCTCTCACCCAAAGGGTTTTGCACTTTATTCCATATGGCATTGGTCCTGGCATTGGTATATTATATGCACTATATAATGATGCATAAAGGGCCTGGGTTTAGGAGCCGGTCCTGGAACGCAACTGCGTCCTTCAGCAGTCCAAACGAGTCGAGATTGACTTGGGGCCCAGTCGTTTAAGGCATCGAACCACGCATCCAGCTCCTTCCGCGACCGCCCAGGCACAAGGACACACCGCCCCCAGTGTCCGGACGTGACCGTGCAGACGGGCCGAGTCGGAAAGGAAAACCGCCGCGAAGTGCCAAAGAGACAACACGTCTTTCCTCGGCTGTGCTTCTACCACGGTGAATGGATATATAGGTGATAAGTTTTAGTTTTTGAAGCCCTGGTCAACGAACAGGACATCACACCACTTTGGAAGATATTGCAAGGCTGTAAGGGCAAGTGATAGGCAGCAATCGTTTGTGCAATGAAGGGGTTGGTCGGTGTCATTTGCGACAGCACCACCGTCTTAGTTTTCGGCGTTTCGGTTCGGCTACTTGTCACAGAAATGATACAAACTAAATTTTGTTCCCCCTAATCTTTCCCAGGCTTGGTACATCCAGGACATTGGCACGGCTGATCAACTCCCCTTACATGAATACCAACAGAGCCCAGTCGGCACTCGGCGGTTAGGTTCCGGCGACTTCTCGGGCCGTTATGCAATGCCAATAAGGGCTGTGGGCGTGCTGCCTCGGGTCAAAGTGTGGATCAAGGATTGCAAGAAACGAGCTTTGGGTCCTAAAGTCTGGGTCTCCTCGTAGGTAGGGGCTTTGCTTCGCAGATTGATCCCCTGCTCGACGTGTCAGTTGCCTTTAGCAGAACTGTTGCGGAGGTGGTTGGATGAATTCACCAAGAGAATGAACCCATGAAGCTCATCATGCTCAGCAGAACAATTGGTTCCAGCCTCCGCAGATAGGCTGCGCAGCACCTGCACATAAAAGATGTGCCAGCTGCGCGCCTCAAAGCACCAGAATTCAGGCGGCTTAAGGAGAGGAGCCGCTTCTAGAGACCGTAGAGACCATCGTCACTTCTCATCAAATCAGATGCCACACACGGTTCCGAGTGAAGAGTGTTTTGGTTTAGCTGTTTGGCACAACTCTGCGTTCCATCAATCACTTTACTTGCGAAGAAGTTGGCTCACACTTAGATTTATTCGGCGAAGTTGCGGTGCACGCACAGCGGGTCAGAAAATCGGGGATGTTCGGCACTTGCCAGATTGAGTTCTGACAGAAGAGGTGCCAAAAACATCTCCAAACCGGGTCTTGCGTTGGGTGAGAGATACGTCGAGATGGTGCTCCTCGGAACAGGGAACAATATGTTTCCCAATATCGGGGAGAAGGGGTTCTCTCCTGGGCGTTCACAATGTGCTTGGCTTTGCTTGCGACAACTTCAAGGTATAGGCCTGATTTCTAAGCTTCTCAACCCTAAATGCTCCGTTGAGTGTTTTATTGCTCCGTAGCCACGTGGTTCAAGACTTACAACTTGCGCGGCGGGTTTCTGTCCAACACACTATTCACGCACCTTGGCGAGATTGGTGGGTCGCAAAAAGCCAACTGTCGCAATTCACTCGCTTCCCCTTGACCGTCTTGGCCCCTCAGGCGGCCATAGGTGAGAGGAGAGCCAGTGAGACCTGAAACCGCCATCAGGTCTCAGCGACTGCAGGCAGCCGTGGCGGCCGTGTGGAGGGGCGAAATAAGAGAGTTCGCAAAACCCAAAGAGCTTGGACAGTTGGCTCGCTCAAGGGTTGAGCGATGTTGAGCTGACTTGATTTTAAGGCTCAACAGACACTTTCGGTGCTTCTAAGATGCCACACTCAGGGCTCAGGGGCCAGAATCCAGAGGACAGACTTGCCATCAAGGCGCTACAGGACAGGAAGCACCTGAGTCCTGCGACTGAAGTCACAAGGTCTCCCAGGACATGGTTTGCATCGCAAACCTGGGTGAATAGGACGGAACAAACCGCTAAACTATACAATAAGGGAACGTCAAGAAGAGCGTCAGTTGCTTGGTTCGCCAGGGGTCATTTTCATCAAATTTGACTAAGATCCCTCGTTGCTAAGCTTCGTGACACGATCATTTACTCACCGCCCTTCACATTTGCCAGGTGCTCCTGTGGCCAGGACTTTGGCCTGATGTTTGTGTCTAAGACAAGGGCTGGGCAGTTGTAGAGTATGGCACAAATGTATACAAATGTGAGGAATATTGAAGAATGCATGTCAGAGAATGGTGATAGAAGCTGGCAGAAAGATGGACGATCGAGATGTGCAAGCCAGATGTCCTTCTTGTGAGTTATGCTTTGAGTCAATGCTCTTCTTCTGGGCATTCTGAGTCAATGCTCACGGTGATTGTACGTTTAAGGCTTCGACTTCTACCGGTGCTTTTGACATGGACCCAATGGGGCGTGGAGGTGGCGGGTTGTTCGTCATCATGATTTGTCATCCAGATGCTCACCCTCAGAACTGCTGCCGCAGGTCTTTTGATCAGAGTAAATAGTGAACATGCACCATTCGCAATGGTCCTTGATGGCATCCCTGCATGTAGAGCAGTGTCGGCATTTTTGCTCGTCACAGGCCCATACTGAGATGCGCATCACTGCGGAAGGGCATGCGACGGAGCTGAAATCCAAGGACGGACTGCAGCCACGATGTCGACGATGTGTTCATGATGTGTTCACAGTTTTTCCCCACCTGCCAGGTGAGGGTTGTTAGATTTTATCACAGCTGTTCTTCCTCCGCCTCCGCCTCCGCCTCCGCCTCCGCCTCCGCCTCCGCCTCCGCCTCCGCCTCCGCCTCCGCCTCCGCCGCCTCCTCGTCCTCCTCCTTCCTCCTTCCTCCTTGCTTCCTTCCTCGCCAATCTGCTTCGCCGATCTTGTCTGGCCAGCTCCGGATCGCAGTGTGCACCCCTGGACCTCAACCGCAAGGATCCCCTCGCAGTGTGCACCCCTGGACCTCAACCGCAAGGATCCGATCGCAGTGTGCAC